TTTAAGCTAAGGCTCTTGGGGTCCAATCTCAGCATCAAACAAGCACAGTTCAGCAATAAAAATGTGAATTTTCAGCCTGAGCAACATAGAGAAACCATCATCTCTACAAAAAATTAGAAAATTCGGCCCAGGTGTGGTGGCTTACGCCTATAATCCCAGCACTATGGGAGGCCGAGGCGGGCAGATCTCCTGAGATCAGGAGTTTGAGGCCAGCCTGGCCAACACGGTAAAACCCCATCTCTACAAGAAACACAAAAAAATTAGTCAAGTGCGGTGGCGCACGCCTGGAGTCCCTGCTACTCAGAAGGCTGAGGCAGGAGAATCTCTTGAACCAGGAGGTGGAGGTTACAGTGAGCCAAGATGTGCACTCTGGCACTCTGGGCAATGGAAGGAGACTCTGTCTCAAAAAATAAAAAAAATAAAAAATTAGCCAGGCTTGGTGGCACATGCCTGTGATCCTAGCTATGTGGGAGGCTGAGGTGGAGGATTGCTTGAGCCCAGGAGGTCAAGCCTGTATAGTGAGCCATGATCACAATGCGGCACTCTAGCCTAGGCAACAGAACAAGACCCTATCTCAAAAAGAGAAAGAGAGAAATGTGAATTTTAAGCACTTCACTTTTCATTCACTTAAAAAAGAAACCCCCAAGGGGAGAAGTACATAATTAACGCACAACAAAAATCTTAAAAATTTAGCCAGGCATGGCGGCATGTACCTGTAGTCCCAGCTACTCAGGAGGCTGAGAGGGGAGGATCACCTGAGCCCAGGAGTTCGAGGCTGCAGTGAGCTGTGATCCTGCCACTCCACTCCAGCCTGGGTGACAGAGTGAGACCCTGTCTCAAAAAATTTAAAAAAAAAATCTTTAAAATCTCTTCTCTCTCCATGGATGACAGCTGTTCTCACAAATTTCCTCTCTTTACTCCTAACTAACCCAAACTCTATTGTGAGAAGACACCTGGACTGTTCTGAGCATAGTAACTGAGAGTCCAGCTGTTGCCCTGTTGCTTTGAAATTCACTACTGAAATCTGCACTGAGGTCACACCTTCCATGGGCTGCTCCCAGCATAGTTGTGGCAAAAATACTTTGGCTCTTTGGGGATACTCTGCAGAGATGAAGAAAAAAAATACTTTGGCTCCTGTACTCCCCAACAACCTTGCTGAACTGTCCTTACAACTGAACAGTATTCTGAGAAGCTCCCACTCACCTTCCTTTCTTCCCTCTCTTCCTGACTGCAGGTCAGATTTGCATTGCAATCTGATGGCCCTCCCTGCTTCCACCACTGCCTCCCCATTTTCTCTCACAGGTGGTTCCCCTAACTGATTTCTTTTTCCTTTCTCTCTCTGATGGAGTCTTGCTTTGTCACCCAGGCTGGAATGCAGTGGTGCGATCTCAGCTCATTGCAACCTCCACCTCTCAGGTTCAAGCAATTCTCCTGCCTCAGTCTCCCAAGTAGCTGGGATTATAGGCATGCACCACCATGCCCAACTAATTTTTGTCTTTTTAGTAGAGATGGGGTTTCACCATCTTAGCCAGGCTGGTCTTGAACTCCTGACCTAACGTGATCCACACCCACCGTGGCCTCTCAAAGTGCTGGGATTACAGGAGTGAGCCACTGTGCCTGGCCCCCTTAATTGATTTCCCCTCTTGGCAGTTGCTTCTCTGAAGAGGCGGATTATGTGTGTGATGTCTTCCATTTCCTCCTTTCTACCATTGCACTCATCTTTGCTGAAAGTTGTAACTGAATAAGGTAGAATGACCAGAAAATGTTGACACCTCACTGTCCCCTGACCATCCTCATTCCTTGTGGAAGGAAGTGAAGTTGTGGAAGGACAATCCTCATTCCTTGTGGAAGGAAGTTATCAACAAACAAAAATAAACCTTACAACTCTATGAGTTAGAACGAATTTTACACACGAGGAAACTGTGGTTAAGTTGTCCAAGATCACAAAGAGGTAACTGGCAGAGTTGGAACTAACCTCAGGACAGTCTAACACCAATGGCTGGGCTTTTGTCATTACGTCATGAGTAAGAAACTCAGAACACAAGGGTTTCATAGATCACCCCCTCTCCACTTTTACAGAGGAAACTGAGGTCCTTAGGTGAATTAGCCTGTGTTATCCAGGAAGTCAGGGCAGAAGCAAGATTTGCACCCAGGTGTTCTGACTCCAGATTTTCAGCTCTACTGTCTCGGAAAATGAGAAAACTAAAGACAGATCAGGGTGACTCCTGTCTTACAATGGAGAAAAACCCTCAAACACAGCAACCAGCAAGGGGGACTAAGGACAGGAAACCAGCCTAGAGCATACTGGTATTAGAGGGCAATTAATCTCCTCCTACCCCTACCCACCTACCCCAAGCTGGAGCTTGCATCTGAGGTCTGAGGAGTAACATTACAGACCTATAGAACTATGGAGTACCCATGGGTAGAGTATTAGGACAGTGAGGAGAAGAAGTGGAGGGAGACAGGACTAGCTGGAGGAAGCTGTTAGGTTAAGTGAGCCTTCCACTGTTGGGTTTTCTACTCATCACTGGTTATCTAAAGTTAAATAAGAAAAATTTCCTTGCTTCTGAAGATCAGGATAGACTGCATGGAGGAGATGATACCTGAGCAGCTTTCAGAGCCTGAAAAAACTTAGAGGAGTAGGTGAAAACCTCTGGACTCACTTACAATTGCCTATTTGCGAGCTCAATTCATCAGCTGCAGTCCCTGCCCTCTGGCTGGAGAGTCTATCTAGGAAGACAGTTAAACAATCTTAACACAGTGTGAGATGTGCTTTACGAAAAAACCTACAAGGCACTGTGGGACAAGGGAGACCCACTGCCCCCAGCCCAAAGCAAGTCTCAATTTCTGGGCATGAAAAAAACTCTTCACAATTTAATTCCATTCTTACTTTCCAGTCTCATTTATCACCATGTCCCCAAAAGCTGGGAACACAACCAAATATGTGTGTGTCTGTGTATGTGAATCTGAGCATGCCAGGCCTTTGCTCACACTGCTTCTGTTCCCTGGCACGTGGCATGTGGTTGCTTTCTTGGAGATACTCTTCTCGACATACTTAGCCTTATTCAAATTCTCTCTTATGCTCCCAAGGCCAGTTCTTTGTCCGTTGCCTCTCTAGGTTGGTGAATTCCTTAAAGCAAGGACTCAAATGCAAGGTCAAGAGCACTCATTATGAAGTTATACAGATGCAGGTGGCCTTTGTCTAGCAGGTGGCCTCTTAGCTTCCCTCTATCTAGATGAACAATTCCTACTCCAGGAAATGCAATCAGTACTGATGTTTAGTTCTTGGCAAATGGTAGGTGCTCAAAAATGTTTTCTGAGTTGAATTGCATTAACATTAAGGTCTCAGGTCAGAATTTGAACTTCATGAAGGCCCTGGCTGTGAGCTGGATCTTGGAAGGGCTCATGATCAACTTTAGCAGTTTTCTGTGGCTAAAAATGAGAAATATACAGCATGTTATTTGTCTTGAAGACCTGCCTGTTAGTGGGAGAAACAGATGGTCAGCTCTCAACAGCACAATTCCAAACTCCTAGAACAGCGGTTCTTAAAACTTTAGCAAGCAGATCAGAATCTGCTTGCTGTAATAAAGGTCATCTGCTAAAACAGATGGCTGGCCCCAGCCCTGGAGTTTCTGATTTAAAGGTCTGGGATAAACTCTGAGAATTCGAGCTTGAATTTCCAATTCACTCCCAGGTGATACTGAAGCTGCTGTATTGACAAAATTCCCTCCTTGATCAAACATTGGTCAGGCTCTTCTGAGTTCTCCTTTTGACTAGGCCTGAGCTTGGGCTCCCATTTCTTTCCTTGTAGAATTCCATTTTAGCAAGAATCTTGCCAAGTCATTTTAGCCAGAATCCTCCATTCTTGATATCTGATCGCTCTCCATATCTGATTTTAGATCCATACTCGCCGTTATCCCCCAGGTGATGTTTGATTATCCTGGCCTGCCTTTGGCAGGAATCCTGTTAGGTTGATTTAGCCAGGTCCCGCCCCATGTTTCCTCTTAGTAATTTTCCATCCACTGACTTCCACACACTGCCCTTTAGCTATAAATTCCCACTTTGCTATATTCAGCCCAACCTCTGTCACTGCAAAACTCTATCCCTACCTCTGTCAGATTGGGCCTGAATAAAGTTTGCCTTATCATTCTTTTTTTTTTTTTCCTTCTTTCTTTCTAAAGGAGAATCATTCTTTTTTTTTTTAAATTTAATTTTTTTTTTAACTTTCTGGACAGCAATGCCTTATTCTTAAACATGAATAATTGTCATATTTTTTTTCTTTAATGGGATTCATACTTTGAGAACTACTGATTAGAGGTTTAGGGTCCTGTGCTTATTATCTGGCACACATTAATGGTATGCCTCTGAGTTTGAATCCAACCACACTGCCTGTCTTGGCTTTTTTTTTTTTTTTTGAGATGGGTTTTGCTCAGGCTGGAGTGCAGTGATGCAATCGTGACTCACTGCAGCCTTGACATCCGGGGCTCAAGCGTTGCTCCCGCCTTATCCTCCTGAGTAGCTGGGGCCACAGGTGTAAGCTGCCATACCCAGCTAATTTTCACATTTTTTGTAGAGGTGGGGTCTCTCATTATATTGCTCAGGCTGGTCTTGGGATCCTGGGCTAACCTACCTCAGCCTCAGTCTTGCTTCTTGATCAAATCACTCACCACTCTGTGCTTCATTTACCTCATCTGTGAAAACCAGATAACATGCTAGTGCATGGTAAGTGCAAAAAGCAATACCTGGCACAATGCTTAATACATGTTGGTTAAATCTTATAATGTCATTTTCTGCAGGAAGGAGGACGACAAAGTTAAGGGTCTAGGTGGTCAGAGAAGAGCATGGGATATGTCCCTCTTTTGTGCAGCCAGGCAGGCCCTATACTTTTTCTCTGCATGACTCTCCTAGGGCGGCCTCGGGTCTCGAACTCTCACGTCTCACTCCCAAACAGGTTCTGTAGTCCAGCCTCTAGGTTCCCTACAGCCCGCCGATGCTGCGCAAGCGCAGTGACCACGCTTTATGCACATGCGTACTCAGGTGCGCCAGTAGGGGACGCGCTGGCACAGCAAAATGGCGGCGGCACTACGGGTGGCTGCGGCTGGGGCAAGACTCAGCGTTCTGGCGAGCGGTCTCCGCGCGGCGGTCCGCAGCCTTTGCAGCCAGCCCACCTCTGTTGACGAGCGCATTGAGAACAAGCGCCGACGCGCGCTACTAGGAGGAGGCCAACGCCGTATTGACGCGCAGCACAAGCGAGTGAGTCCCGCCCCTGGCGCCAGCGACCTATCAGCGTGCCCGGCTCGCGGCGCCCAAGGTCTCCCTGCCAATCCGCACGGCTCCTGGAGGGGCGGGGGCGAGAGTGTTCGCCTTGAAAAACTGTAGCGTTTCGCGTGGAGGCGGCTATAACCAGCAGAAGCACTTGTGTGCTTTTTCACACTGTTTAACTCTTGGGATTTAGATGGAAATGGCTGGTCTCCAGCCAGCTCACCACTTAATATAAAGTTTTGGGCAACTTATTAAATCTCTGTGGGCCAATTTAATAATAATTCTTCCCGCATAAGCGTATCGTTAGACCATAGACATTCAGTAAAAAAGATGTACATATTCTTCTCGTGCCCCATGACAGAGTGATGGTAGATTCTTTCTCCATTGTGGAAGCAGGAAAGTTGAACTTGGTCAAACTCCACTAACATGAGTTGGGGGATGTGTGCGTGCAGGGAACTTGTGGAACTTCTGTCCGCAGAATGCCCGGTCAACCTCTTTAGGGCCTTAGCGTGCCTCCCCTTGGTGGGTAGCAGAGGCACGTGTCGGAAGCAGGTGGCCTTTCTGGGAGTGCGCAGGCCATTCTCGATGTTTGACTGAACTGAGCAACGGAGGCACTACCACCCACCGCCTGGGTTTTGAAGTGAGAATCGCAGCTGGCCTCCAGAGAAAAGCTGGGTGGCTGGTTTTGGAGAGGTGACCCCTGACTTGAAACCAGGCTTGCACAATGTGTCCATGACTCGTGGGTGAGTCTGGACCGTTGTGCTGAACGAATTACAGAACCAACAGGAAGGTGTAGAAGTGAAACTTGTTTTTTTTTTTTTTTAAGATGGGGTTTCACCATGATGGCCACGCTGATCTTGAACTCCTGACCTCAGGTGATCCACCCACCTCAGCCTCCCAAAGTGCTAGGATTACAGACGTGAGCCACTGCGCCTGGCTGGAAGTGAAACTCTTGTAGGTAAAGGGTTCTCAGGCACAACTCACAACCATGGGGGAGGAACTGGGGGAGGGATGGGGTCTTAAGGTGAGGAGATTTGAACAGCTCTATATTTAAGTCTAGTGTGGATTCCGATGTCATATATTCGCATTTGACAAGGGCCTGAAGGTTCCTTTTGAGACTTGGGAGAGAAATGTAAATTTGGTTGATGGTTTGTGGTGCTAGTGCTTTCTCTCTCTCCCCCGGGGCTGCTATGTTAGGGCTGAGGGAGATGTTAGATCATTCTCTGGAAAGGCCTGTCTGTGTTCCGTACAGTCTTTCTGTTGGGATGTACTGGTCAATTCTTCCGTGGAACATTGCCCAGCCTTTTCCCAGGTAGATCCTACTGGGTTTAGATGAAGCCTCCTGAAGCTGTTTTTCTTTTGCCAAAGTTGACTTAGGAGGCAGATTTGATATGAACCCCCTCCTCTACCCCTTTTTAATTTTTGAGATGGAATTTTGCTTTTGTTGCCCAGGCTGGAGTGCAATAATGAGATCTTGGCTCACTGCAACCTCTGCCTCCCAGGTTCAAGTGATTCTCCTGCCTCAGCCTCCTAAGTAGCTGGGATTACAGGCACGTACCACCACACCTGGCTAATTTTTGTATTTTTAGTAGAGACGGGGTTTCACCATGTTGACCAGGTTGGTCTCGAACTCCTGACCTCAGGTGATCCGCCCACTTCGGCCTCCCAAAGTGCTGGGATTACAGAATTTTTGTTTGTTTTTGAGACAGGCTCTTATTCTGTCACCCAGCCTGGAGGGCAGTGGAATCATGGCATCCTCAACCTCCTGGCTGGGCTCCAGTGATCCTCCCACTTCAGCCTCTTTTCCAGCTAATTTTTTTTTTGGTAGAGATAGGGTCTCGCTTTTTTGCCCAGGCTGGTCTCAAATCCTGGGCTTAAGCAGTCCTCCCACCTTGGCCTCCCACAGTGCTGGGATTGCAGGTGTGAGCCACAGTGCCTGGTCAGTATAAATATATATACATATATGTATATATATTAAAAAATCTATATATATATATATTTAAGACAGTTTTGTTCTTGTTGCCCAGTCTGGAGTGCAATGGCATGATCTTGGCTCACTGCAATCTCCACTTCCTGGGTTCAAGCGATTTTTCTGCCTCAGTCTCCTTAGTAGCTCGGATTACAGGCATATGCCACCATGCCTGGCTAATTTTTTTTTTGTATTTTTAGTAGAAGCAGGGTTTCTTCATGTTGGTCAGGCGGTCTTGAACTCCAAACTTCAGGTGATCCACCAGCCTCAGCCTCTCAAAGTGCTAGGATTATGGGCATAAGCCACCGAGCCTGGCCAGTATAAATATATTTTAAAAATCTGTATATATATTGCTAAATTGCTTTCCTGAAAACTTATTCTACTTTACATGACAGTGTACAGGATTGCCTGGTTTTTGTTTTTTTAAACGCAACCTCAGTAGCTTCGGCTACTTTCTAAGGGGGAAATAATAGCCAATTTGAGGTGTGTGTATGTTTGGGGCAGGAGTTGGGGGGAGGAGGACGGAGGACGTTAGGCTAGGGTATTTGCCTTGGGCTGATAGCTTGGGAGCCCAAGCAATGAAGGCTCTTCTTTAAAAAAAACAAACCGTGATCTCACTCTGTTGCCCAGGCTGGAGTGTAGTGGAAAGATCATGGCTCACTGCAGCCTTAACCTCCTGGACTCAGGTGATCCTCTGGCCTCATCCCCACAGGTAGCTGGGGCTACACCAGGTGCCACTACTCCCAGCTAATTTTTGTATTTTTCAGTAAAGACCAGGTTTCGCCGTGTTGCCCAGCTGGTCTTAAACTCCTGGGCTCAAGTGATGCTTGTCTCAGTCTCTCACCTCTAGCATTACCAGTATTAGAGGCACTGCCTGCCCAGTGACATATGTTCAACGGCCAAGGTATCCTGACTGTGCAAAGGTAGCACAATCACTTGTTCTCTAAATAGGGACGTTTATGAATGGCCACATGAGGGTTCAGCTGTCTCTTACTTTTAATCAGTGCTGGGTTTACAGATAGGGGCCACCGTGCCCGACCGAGGCTCTTGGTAGATTCAGAGCTTCGACCTCATCTCCTCAAAGAAGCATTTTAAAACTCTTCTGTAGTGAGCTCTTTAGCATTTTGTGTCCCACTCCCCTTCTGCTCAGTCACTTCCTGATGTGGCATCAGCTCTGTGTCATAGTGTCACTATCAGGTGTGGGATCCCTAATCAGGGGATAGGATAGTAGGAAAAAGAAGCCCACAGAGGAGGCAGGAGAAAAACCAAGAAGTAGTGTGTCCTTGAGGTGGGAGCTGGGAACAGCAGGGACCCTGGTGAGGTGAGGTGTGCTTCTGTAGGTCTCCCTGGAAAGAACCTGTCTCAGATCCTTCACTGAGCCTGCTTTAGTTTCTACCACCTGCTTCTGCATTCTTCTTTTTATGGCTCTTTAGGTCTCTAGGAAGTATTTGCGGAACTAGTTACTATGTTCCAGGGTCAGGTTCTCCTTATTCCCACTTGTCTCTACCTTTTCCTCCCCCTATTTCCTTATTCATCTTCCATAGTTGGATGGCTTCTGGAGCACACTGTCTGCCCTGATTTCCATGTCATCTAATGTTTGCTAATAACACGTATCTGCCCTGGGCAGGTTGAACAGAACGGAGGCATTTGCATTGGGATGAACAACAAAATCTGCGCTTCAGGCCCTCCTGTGAACAGCCCTTGCTTTGCCTACTAAATTGTCTGTGATGACATTACTGAATGATCTTTATTCTATTGTAGGGAAAGCTAACGGCCAGGGAGCGGATCAGTCTCTTGCTGGACCCTGGCAGCTTTGTTGAGAGCGACATGTTTGTGGAACACAGATGTGCAGATTTTGGAATGGCTGCTGATAAGCATAAGGTATTGGTTCAAATAGTGGTCTGAACACTTTCTAGGTGTGGCTAAGCTGGCCTACCCACTAGAATAATAATAAATCTGTAAGGCTTTTATCTGAAGTCCTCTGTAGAAGCACTGCAGATACCATGCCCAGCTAATTTTTGTATTTTTAGTAGAGACAGGCTTTTACCATGTTGGTCAGGCTAGCCTTGAACTCCTGGCCTCAAGCAGTCCACCCGCCTCAGCCTCCCAAAGTGCTGGGCATGAAACACTGTACCCTGCCTCGTGTTTCTTCATATGTCCTCCTTTGCATAAGCATAGAGAAGTGGTGGCCCTGGGGTCTTGATTATTTTGCTTTTAGGAGAGTAGCTAAGGCCTAAGGTGACAGTGTCCTTCACTCCTGTTGATGAAGTAGTAACCCGATGTTTGCTGTTGTAGAACTGGGAAAATGGGCTGAGATTCCTGCATGTCCCTTGTTCATATTAAAGTTTTAGGAATTTGGGTTTTGTTTGTTTTTGTCTTTGAGGCATAGTGGCCAAATTCATTAAAAAAAGTATTTGGATTTTTTAACTTTTGTTTTTGCATTTTTCTGGTAGTTTCCTGGAGACAGTGTGGTCACTGGACGGGGCCGAATCAATGGAAGATTGGTTTATGTCTTCAGTCAGGTATTTCATAACTCCGTTAGTCTGAACTTTCTTGGAGGGCAGAGCCAAAAACAAAATATGTGAAAGAAACCAATCTTGGGGAATGAAAACTTGCTTGTAGTTTGGGGCAAATGAGGGATTTGCTTTGTTTTTCAGTGCATATGTCCAGAATATTATACTTTTTTTTTTTTTTCTCCTTAAGAAGAGACCTGGGCCGGGCGCGGTGGCTCAAGCCTGTAATGCCAGCACTTTGGGAGGCCGAGGCGGGTGGATCACGAGGTCAAGAGATCGAGACCATCCTGGTCAACACGGTGAAACCCCGTCTATACTAAAAAATACAAAAAATTAGCTGGGCATGGTGGCGCGTGCCTGTAATCCCAGCTACTCAGGAGGCTGAGGCAGGAGAATTGCCTGAACCCAGGAGGCGGAGGTTGAGGTGAGCCGAGATCGCACCATTGCACTCCAGCCTGGGTAACAACAGCGAAACTCCGTCCCCAAAAAAAAAAAAAAAAAAAAAAAAAAAAAGTCCCTCCCAAAAAAAAAAAAAAAAAAAAAAAGAAGAGTCCTTAGTCTGTTTTGGAGAGGATTACTGGGCACTAGCCTTGTACAAAATTAACCCAGGAATCAGGAATTTATTCCAAATGAATGAGATTCCTCTTGAGAGGGTTGGGTGTGTGCTTGGAGGGCATCTGTGTTCTGGGCAGTCTGTGTGGACTAGAGAGTACAGTGGGTGCAGCCTAGCAAAGGGGACTTGACTCTCAAAACCAGAGTCTCCCTGAGTGTTCGGCTTTCATGAATATGTTCATGTTCAGAAAGCTTTTTTTTTTTTGAGACGGAGTTTACTCTTGTTGTCTAGGCTGGAGTGCAATGGTGCCATCTCGGCTCTCCGCAACATTTGCCTCCTGGGTTCAAGCGATTCTCCTGCCTCAACCTCCCGAGTAGCTGGGATTACAGGCATGTGCCACCACTAATTCTGTTTATTTTCAGTAGAGATGGAGTTTCTCCACGTTGGTCAGGCTGGTCTTGAACTCTCAACCTCAGGTGATCCGCCAGCCTTGGCCTCCCAAAGTGCTGGGATTACAGGCGTGAGCCACCGAGCCTGGCCTCAGAAAACTTTTATCAGGCTGCCTCAAGATAGTTTGTTCACACACATAGCCAAAGCTATCAATGTTATTTTACATGCAAAAGGGAATGAAGGTTGTTAGCTGACTTTACAATAGGGAGAGCAGCTTGGTTTATCCAGGTGGGGCCAATATAATTACAGGGCCCTTAAAAGTGGAAGAGGGCGATAGAAGAGGAGCTCAGAAGCATATGATGTGAGGAGGACTTGACGTGCAGTACCTGGCTTTGAGGATGGGAGAAGGGGACCATCAGCAAAGGAGTGCCCATGGTCTCTAGGAGCTGATAAAGGCAAGAAAATACATTTACCCCGGAGCCTCCAGAAAGGAGCACAGCCCTGCCAACCTTAATTTTAGCCCAGTCAATCCTATGTAGCACTTCTAAACTATGGAACCCTAAGATAATACATCTGTGTTGTTTCAAGGCACTGAATTTGTGTTAGTTCCCTATTACTGCTATAACAAATTAACACAGAATATGTTGTGTACTATTTTGGATTTTGCTTTTTCCCAGAGGTGGAAATGCATATAATTTAAAATATTTAGGTCCTTTTACAGACCTAAAGTTTGATACTAAAGTTGGCTGGGTTCGGTGGCTCATGCCTGTGATCCCAGTACTTTGAGAGGCTGAGACGAGTGGATCATCCGAGGTCAGGAGTCTGAGACCAGCCTGACCAACATGGTGAAACCCCATCTCTACTAAAAACAGAAAAATTAGCCAGGTGTGGTGGAGATCTGTAATCCCGGCTACTTGGGAGGCTGAGGCAGGAGAATCCTTTGAACCCAGGAGATGGAGGTTGCAGTGAACTGAGATTGGGCTACTGTACTCTAGCCTGGGAAACAGAGCTAGACTGCATCTCAAAAAATAAAAAAAAATAAAAAATAATTACATTTGGTTAATTTAAAATCTATCATAGACAGTATGCGTTTACTAAAATTGCCCTTGAAATGTTTTAAAACTGTTATAAATCGGTCTACCAAATGCTGAAATAGAAGGAATCACATTTCTTTGTTTTGTGCAATTTGTGAGAGCTGAGAAAAACTTGTACAGAAGGAACCATTGAAAAGAGGGGTAGAACAAAGAAAGTTATGTTTTCTGGACATGGTATTCACTGACCACTATTAAGCAGATGGAAAAATTCACTGAATTCATACTTTTGAGCACCTCTTATGCTCATGTGGTAGGGTGGGAGTAAGGAGTAGGTGGAGATGACCCAGACAAGAGTTCTCACTCTGAAGAAGTGAATCATTTTATAGGCACAGTGGCACAGAACAGATGTGACTACAGAGAAGATGGAGTGAGAGGTTCCAGACAAATGTTGTGGACCCAAGACAAGGGAAAATCACATCCAGGGTTGTGGAAAGCTTTAGGGACAGTGGGGCAATTGAGACTGGCCCAGAAGGATAGTGGGGGTAGGGAGTGATGAGCTAGTTTTTTTTTTTTTTATAGTGATCTCTGAGATGTTAATATCTGTAGGTATATTTTTCTGGGGAGCTTCTGTTCTTCTGGGGGAGTCTCCTCAATCCCTTGCTTGATAATTGGCTGTTGGTGTATTCTAGGAGGAGAGAAAAGAGGGGCCAGCACTCCCTCATTCAGTGTATAGCATCCTAATCTTGCGTGTTTTCAGCCTCACCTTTCCTTCTTTTAGGCTAGAAGTTGTGAGTTTAGAACCCTTCTGGTTAACTTCCTTTAGAGAACAAACCTCTCTCCTCTCAACGTGAAGGAGAGGCCCTGTGGGGTCTAACTGCTTCTAACATAGACTTCTATTAGTCTTGTTTTCAGCCCCCTCCTCACCTCCACTTTCCATGGTTCCTGGGTTGTTCCCTCCTTGATTACTCGCACTGCAGGTGTGTAAGCTTCCATTCTCTCCCTCCAAATCAGGTATTTTCTTGTGCTTTCAGTTCCCCTCAGATTTGTTTAATCTTTCTTGTGCTGTTGCCTCCTTCTTTTTATTCTTATGGCAAATTAAGTCCCAAATGTCTTTTTGAAGGGGTTTTAGGAAGGAGGGTTATACCCACAATAAGCCCTTTACATCTGAACATAATGAAGGTCCATAAGCAGAAGAAGCCATGAGAGCTCTGATTCTTGTTTTTTAACCTTCCTTTTTAAAACAGGTAGGTGTGATGGCTCACGCTTGTAATCCCAACATTTTGGGAGGCCGAGGGAGGTGGATCACTTGAGGCCAGAAGTTTGAGATGAACCTGGGCAACATGGTGAAACCTCGTCTCTACTAAAAATACAAAGCTGGGCATGATGACACGTGCCTGTAATCCCAGCTACTCAGGAGGCTGAGGCAGGAGAATTGCATTAACCTGGGAGGCAGAGGATACAGTGAGCCAAGATTATACCACTGTGCTCCAGCCTGGGCAACAGTGAGACCCTGTCTCAAAACAAATAATAAAACAGTAAATATTTTCTAAAAATAGAAGTGCTTGACTGTTTGACATCCATAGAATCTGATATTAGAGTTAATTCTGTGTGATAGATTTTCCTTCAGAGCTGCAAATCATTTTTTTCTTTATCTTTTTTTAACTTGCAAATCATTTTTGTAGAGCAAAGACTAGCTTTTTTGCTCTTGACAATTCATGAACTTCAAGATATTTTATTATATGGAATAATCTATAAATCAGATTTTTTTTTCTAATTTTTCTAAACTTCTGAAAATTCTTCAAAAAAAAATTTTTTTTAATGTAGTCTCCCTCTGTTGCCCAGGCTAGAGTGTAGTGGCGCGATCTAGTTCAAGTGATTCTCCTGCCTCAGCCTCCCGAGTAGCTGGGATTACAGGTGTGCACCACCACATGCAGCTCATTTTTATGTTTTAGTAGAGACAGGGTTCCACCATGTTGGCCAGGCTGGTCTGGAACTCCTGACCTCAAGTGATCCGCCTGCTGTGTCCTCTCAAAGTGCTGGGATTACAGGTTTGAGCCACTGCACCCAGCCAACTTTTTTTTTTTTTTAAAGACAGGGTCTTGCTCTGTTCCCTAGGCTGGAATGCAATGGTGCTATCTCGATTTCTTGAAGCCTCTGTCTCTTGGGCTCAAGCAGTCCTTCTGCCTCAGCCTCTCAAGTAGCTGGGACTCCAGGCATGTGCCACCATACCCCACTAACTTTTTTCTGTATTTTTTATAGTTACAGGCTTTTGCCATGTTGCCCAGGCAGGTCTCAAACTCCTGGACTCAACCCATCCACCTGCTTCGGCCTCTCAAAGTGTTGGGATTACAGGCGTGAACCACCATGCCTGGCTTAAAAACTTTTATCTGTGAATTTTCTATTTCTTTCTCCTACTGGGTTTTCATCTCTAGCCAGTTACTATATTTGACTTGCTGATTTGTATTTTCTTTTTAGGATTTTACAGTTTTTGGAGGCAGTCTGTCAGGAGCACATGCCCAAAAGATCTGCAAAGTAAGTAATACTGAAATTCAGTCCATTGCTTTCCTCAATTAGATAGTGCTCATTGAGTATCCTTGGGATACAAGACACTGAGCTAGGTACTTGGGGTAGGGCAGAGGTATACAAGATGTGGTACCCACGTGAAGGGGTGCATAACATTTTTTGTACCATGGATCTCTTCCATGGGCTGGCAAAGCCTGGACCTTCCTGTTTTTACATGCCTAAAATAAAATTTGTAGTATTTTAAAGGATTAAAAATGTTTTTAAAACACCACATTTATATATGTGCTTCCTTGTTAAGGCATTTAATGGCAAGATTTAGCAATAGATCTGATAACTACTGTAATTTCAAAGTAGTCAAAGGTAAAAATAGTACAGGATATCTGCAACAACTTTAATGGCACATAAAAATATCTGTGGCTTCTAATAATGACAAAGTCACAGGTATTTCTAATACTACTGAAGCTCATTGCCTATATTCATAATGAAAAAAAAGTTATCAGCTGGAGTTAGTAAAGATAAAGATGTAAATTTTTTTCCCATTTAAGTTCATGGACCCCCTGAAATCCATTTACAGACCCCTTGGGATTCTGAGGATCCCAGATGGAGAACCTCTTGTTTAAGTGGAGGGGCCAGGTGCTAGAAGTTAAAGAACAGTGCGAGGATTGCATGCTGATAATTAAAAACCACTGCTAGAGATTAGATGCTCTGGAGAAGAATAAAAGGATAAATAATATTTAGAGAATTTTGGAATTAAAGTTGGAGCTATTAGTAATTGGAATATCTGGATTGTAGACATGGTCCTGTCATGCATTACTCCTGAGACCTTGGGTCAATCACTTAACTTTTAAACCTTTGTAATTTTTTTCTTTTTACTGCCTCTGTTATGATGGGTAAATGAGGTAGTGGAAGTGAAAGTACTTTTTAAACTGTCAAGGGCTGTAGGAATGTTGCTTATTATGCTGTCAGAACTACTAACTTACGAGGAAAATCTGTCACATTAGAAGTAAAAGCAGGCCTGGGCCTGCCTTCAGATTAACAGATGGGTCAACATCTGCTTTCATGAAAATATAACTTTGCCATTCTGTCTACTGTGAGTTCTTTCAAAGCAGTACCTGTGAACAAAACTGGCTGCTGGAAGACATTACAATGTGAGCCTGTGATTCTAGAAATGGTTGCCATGAATTGTTTTATCCCCTGCTAATGGGAAGTGTTTTGGCTCTTGTGTATGTGGGGGCTTTAATCAGCCTTTTAAATATCTGGCCCTTTGTCTTCCATGAAGGTGCCCAATCATAATGGGGGGTGAAACCAGTGTTACTGCCTCCTGTTTTGAAAAATGCACATAGAACATTTTCCAGAAAACTCTGGTACTTTGTGAATGCTGTTTTTATATCAAGAATGTTTGTCTCAACACAAAATTTCTCTGCTGTCTCAGATCATGGACCAGGCCATAACGGTGGGGGCTCCAGTGATTGGGCTGAATGACTCTGGGGGAGCACGGATCCAAGAGGGAGTGGAGTCTTTGGCTGGCTATGCAGACATCTTTCTGGTGAGAAACCTGTTAATAGAGAATAGAGAATAAGAAAATACAGGGCTTAATGTTCTCTAAACCATGGCCTGGTCAGAGCTTCTCCAGCTCTCCTCATTATTCTCTGCTGCATTGTCTCTGTTCTGTGGGTCCTTCCTGTGTGACTTGGGGGTGGGATGAAAAGTAAGAGAGTGGGAAGAGAGGGTTTTCATTTTTTCTAACAGGGCCACTCATAGGGGAAATTACAGTTAAAGATCATAAGGGAAAAGGACTTGAAAAAATATATATATTTTGAAAGCTAGGGAGAGGAAATATGAAAAGTTAAAATGAACTGATTTGCTAGAATTAGAATTTTTAAAAAATATCATACCTTTAAGCCAGGCTTGGTGGCTCATGCCTGTAATCCCAGCACTTTGGGAGGCTGAGGTGGGCGGATCACTTGAGGCCAGGAGTTCAAGACCAGCCTGGCCAACATGGTGAAACCCCATCTTTATTTAAAAAAAAAAAAAAAAAGGCACCTTTTTTATTTTTTGGTTAAAACACTACAGGATTATTATATAAAGTCCAAGCCATAGTGCAAAGAAGAATAAAATCACCCCAGATCCTATCATTCAGAAACATTTGGTGAGCCTCATTACTGATACCGCTTTGCTTATTTACAGACTGAAATTATGAGAGAAAGAAATGAAAAGAAACCTAAAATAATGTGCTACATGATGTGTAAAGTGTATTTGTGAGAGATAAGAGAGATTGGGATGAGGCAGAGAGTTACTGTAGACAGAAATTGGCAACATTTCCAGGGTTAGAAAGGAAGGAGACAGGCAGACATTGTTTCTAATCAGGCCAGCTACTCTTGTCATCCTTGCTCTGCAGGTTTACTTATATGGGTGGCTTGGCCTAAGCAGTTTAGACCTGGAAGTCATTCCTTTTGAGAAACAAAAAAGCATCCCTCAGAGATGTGGTGATAAACCACCACATTTTAGAGCTTGACTGGATTTTAGAATATCATTTAGTTTAATACATCTTTATGGATCTGGAGGAGTGGTTTTTTGTTTGTTTGTTTTTAAATATTCATTTTTTTTGAGACAAGGGTCTCAGTTGCTTAGGCTGGAATGCAGTGGCGTGATCTCTGCTCACTGCAACCTCAGCCCCCTGGGTTCAAGTGATCATTTCACTGGTTCAGCCTCCTGAATAGCTGGGACCACAGTCATTCACCACCACACCTGGCTACTTTTTTTTGGTATTTTTTTTTTTTTGTAGAGGTGGGTTTTTGCTATGCTCCCAGGCTTGTCTTGAACTCCTGGACTCAAGTGATTGGACTGCTTTTGCCTCCCAAAGTGCTGGGATAACAGGAGTGAGCCGCCACGCCCGGCCTTTAATTTTTGTTTCAAAGGGCTGGTCTTCAGTGACTTTCAGATCTTTATTGCTTAATTAATTGCTTGCTAATGCTGCTTGTCCTATTGACACCTCCACTCATTCCTGTCTGTGTTATTTTTGGGTTACATTTTATTTTGATAAAATTTCACACTTCAGGCTGGGTGCCGTGACTCATGCCTATAATCCCAGCACTTCGGGAGGCCAAGGTGGATGGATCACTTGAGGTCAGGAGTTTAAGACTAGCCTGGCCAACATGGTGAAATCTTGTCTCTATTAAAAATGCAAAAATTAGCTGGGAATGGCGGCATGTTCCTGTAATCCCAGCTACTCAGGAGGCTAAGGTGGGAGCATTGCTTAAACCTGGGAGGCAGAGGTTACAGTGAGCCGAGAGTGTGCCATTGCACTACAGTATGGGCAACAGAGTGAGATTCCGTCTCAGGAAAAAAAATTCAAACTTCATAGAAGAATGACAAAAATACTACAGGAACTCTTATAATGCCCTTTTCCCAGATTCACCAGTTATTTACATTTTCTCTGTTTGTTCTATTATTCTCTCTCCATATGTACATATTTGCATGTTATATTTTTCTGAAATATTTGGGAATAAATTAGAGATACTATGTCTTCTTTACCTCCTAAGTTCTTCATTATTTCTAAAGAATAAGGATATTTTCTTAAATAACCAGAATGCAGTAATAAAAATAAGGAAATTTAGCATTGATTCATCAATGTTATTCTAATTCATAATCCTTATTCAGCACTTAATAAAGTCCTTTGTAGTGTGTGTTCTTGCATGTGTGTGCTCTCTCTCTGACTGTCTGTCTCTCTATATATATATTTATATATATTTGTTCTTCCTGGCCAGGATCCAATCCAGAATGAAGGATTGACTTTAAATGTTATCTCTCTTTAATCTTTTTTGATCTGGAGCAGTTCCTGTCTTTGTTCTCCATGATCTTGACATTTTTAAAAATAGCTTTATTGAGAAACAGTTTACAAATCATAAAATCCACCCATTGTAAACATATCAAATAATTTTAAATTAATTTTTAGAGTTGTACAGTCATAATCTAGTTTTAGAACCTGCCACTCACTCCAAAAATACCCTCTTGCCTGTTTGCAGTCAGTTTCTGCCTAACCACAGGCAACTCCTCACCCCTCTTTCTGCTTTTACAGATTTTTGCATGACTCCTTTTACTAAACATCATGTTTTTTGAGGTTCATTCATATTGTAATGTGTATTAGTTGATTCCTTTTTATTGCTGAATAATATTATATTGAACATTTTACGTATTTTCATCATTTACCACATGAGAGAGATTTGGGTTGTTTCTAGTTCCTGGGTATCATGAATAAATGCTACTGTGAGCATTTGTGTGTTACTCTGTGTGAACATATGTTTTCATAACGCTTGGGTAGGTAGGTACCTAACAGTGGGATTATAGGTTTTATGATAAATTTTGTGTATAACTTTTTAAGAAACTGCTAAATTGTTTTCCAAAATAACTAAAACATTTTACATTACCATGAGCAATGTATTCATGGGTTCAGGTTCTCCACATCTTTGTTGATACTTGGTATTGTCAGCCATTTTTTTTTTTTTTTGAGACAGAGTCTCACTCTGTGGCCCAGGCTGGAGTGCAATGGTATAATCTCGGCTTACTGCAACCTCTGCCTGCTGGGTTCGAGTGATTGCTCTGCCTCAGCCTCCTGAATAGCTGGGATTACAGGTGTGCACCACCATGCCTGGCTAATGTATTTTTAGTAGAGGTGGAGTTTCATCATGTTGGCCAGATTGTTCTCAAACTCTTGACCTCAAGTGATCTGCCTCCCTCGGCCTCCCAAAGTGCTGGGGTTATAGGCGTGAGCCAATGCACCTGGCCAATCTTTTCTTTCTTTCTTTTTTTTTAATTTTATATTTATTTATTTATTTATTTTTTAAAGACGGGGTTTCACCATGTTGGTCAGGCTGGTCTTGAACTCCCGATCTCAGGTGATCCGCCTGCCTTGGCCTCCAGAGTGCTTGGATTACAGGCGTGAGCCACCACGCCTGGCCTCTTTCTTTTTTTTTTTTTTTTTTTTTTTTTTTTTTTTTTTTTGAGACAGGGTCTCACTCTGTTGTTCAGGCTGGAGTACAGTGGCATGATCACAGCTCACTGCAGCCTTGACCTCCTGAGCTCAAGTGATCCTCCTGCCTCAGCTTCCCAACTAGCTGGGATGACAGGCATGTGCCACCATGCTTGGCTTGCCATGTTGCCCAGGCTAGTCTTCAACTCCTGGGCTCAAGTGATCCTTGTGCCTCCGCCTCCCAAAGTGCTGGAATTACAGGTGTGAGCCACTGCACTTGGTCTAGTCTTTTTGACTGTAGCTGTTTTAGTAGTGTGTAATGGTATCTCACTGTAGTTATAGTTTGCATTTCTCAGATGACTAATCATGTTGAGCATCTTTATGTACATATTAGTCATTTGTAAACCTTCTTTGCTGAAATGTCTGTTCAGATCTTTTGTCCATTTTGTAATTTATTCTTTTTATTTTTATTTTTTTTAAAGACGGGATTTCACCATGTTGGTCAGGCTGGTCTTGAACTCCCGACCTCAGGTGATCCACCCGCCTTAGCCTCCAAAGTGCTGGGATTACAGGTGTGAGCCACCACGCCTGGCCTTTTTTTTTTTTTTTTTTTTTTTTAAAGCAGAGATATGATTTGTAAGTATTTTCTCTCAGTCTGTGGCTTGTCTTTTCTTTCTTAGTGGTAGCTTTATTTATTTTTATTTTTGTTTTTTGAGACAGTTCACTCTGTCCTCCAGGCTGGAGTGCAGTGGCGTGATCTTGGCTCACTGCAACCTCTGCTTCCTGGGTTCAAGTGATTCTCGTGTCTCAGCCTTCTGAGCTAGGATTACAGATGCGTGCCACCACACCCAGCTAATTTCTTTGTATTTTTAGTAGAGACAGGGTTCACCATGTTGCCCAGGCTGGTCTTGAACTCCTGAGCTCAGGTGATCCACCTGTCTCCGCCGCTCAAAGTGCTGGGATTCCAGGTATGAGCCACCATGCTCAGCCTATTTTTATTTTATTTTTTAGAGACAGGGTCTAGCTCTGTTGCCTGGGCTGGAGTACAGTGGTACAATCACAGCTCACTGCAGCCTTGAACTCCTGGGCTCAAGCAATCCTCCTGCCTCAGCCTAACAAATAGGAATATAGGCACACACTAGTACAACCAGCTAATTTTTTAAAAATTTCTTTTGTGTGTAGAGATGGGATCTTACTATATTTGCCTGGGCTGGTCTTGAACACCTGCGTTAGCATCCCAAAGTGCTGGAATTATAAGCCACTGCACACAGCCTGTGGTGCCTTTTTAAAATTTTATTTATTTTATTTTTTGTGTGTGCTGGGGTTTCACTCTGTCACCTAGGTTGGAGTGTAGTAATGTGATCATGGCTCACTGCAGCCTGGACTTCCCAGGCTCAGGTAGTCCTCCTGCCTCATCCTTCTGATTAGCTAAGACCACAGGCACATGCTACCATTCCCGACTATTTTTTTCATTATTTGTAGATGTGGGGTCACATTATGTTGCCCAGGCAGGTCTCAAACTTCTGGGCTTAAGCCATCCTCCTATCTCAGCTTCCTAGAGTGCTGGCATTACAGGC